AAAAAGCAAGAAATATTGGAAAATGTCATCACCTGATAAAATTTGCCTTCCCGCCCCTCACACCAGACGGCATTTTTGATTTTCAAATCCCTCAGTATTTTTTGCAGTTCCTAGAGAACATGAACGACACTGTCAGAAACCTAGCAATCATCGGGGAGAGGACAATAAAACGACATTTTGTGTAAGAGAGGAACGCACATCTTCAAGGTATCTGTGGCGGCGCTTCTTGAAGTTGCTGACGGGTGTCTCGCCGCCCTTGGCGCCGATGCCCTCCGGGTCGGAGCGCGACAGGGAGGACATGTCCACGAGCGGGCTGCGGGGGCTGCGGCCGGGGCTGCGGCCGGGACTCCGAGCACGGCGACGACGCCCCCCGAGGGGCGTGAGCGGCGGCAGGTCCGAGGCGTCCACCCGCCAGGGGCCGATGAACATCTCTTTGCGAGCCGTGCCGGGCGCCTGCTCGGATTTCGAAATTGATACCTTTTCCTGACTTTCCTTATTGCCAGCGACAAAGATGCTGTCATCTGAGCGGGTGCTGCCGAGACGAGCGCCCAAACTATTAGTAGACTGGAAAGCGTTCTCCAGATTTGAGGCGCTGGTCGTGGATTTCAGTCTGAAGTAAACGAACAACAACAACGGCCGTCAGACAGATCGCACAAACGGCACAAATCGCACACACTGTCAAAAATAAATTACTTACTTGCTGCTTGTGTTGTTTGCATCTGCATCCACCAATTTACTTTCCTGGGCTTTCGTTGGAACACAGACGACGAAGACGCTCCCGGCCATGACGCTGATTTCTTACGCGAATGGTTCTTTGTTTGTTGACTGTTTTGGTGCTCGCTGTGGCCGTAGAGCTGTCGTCGCTGACTGTCTCCGAGCGCTGCGCACGGGCCACTGGCCGGCGAGCTTCTGCTGCTGGGAGCGGCATCGCGAGCGACATCTGTAGGGAGGTGAACGAACAAGCTCGTCAAAATTACAAATGAATCAAAATAAAATAGCAACAAGAAAGCAACAACAAACTCATGCACTTTGCGCGTTCCGTTTCCTGGTAGGGGCCTACCTGCACGCGACAGATGAATGGAGGCCGGCAGGCAGCCCGCGGCAGGCGGCAGGGCCCCCGCCAACATGCCGGTCCTCGTCGTGAGCGTTATCAGGGAGCCCGACACAGCCCGGCGTCGGTGCCCTGCCAGAAAACTGGAGCACTTGACAGGAGGAGCCTCAGGGGCTATTGTCCTCCGGGGGTGGCTGACGAGACACGAGCGTCGGGCATGCCAAGCGACGGGCACACATAACGACGCAATCACATTTTTTTTTTCGAGTTTTCCGAGAACAGCAAAAAAATCAGCAGACATCTCGACGTACCTAATGCGACAATGCCGTGCCTGTGCTGCGGAGAGGAGGTCAGCCTGCATCACGTCGGCGGCAGCGCTGAGCAGGCGGAGGCCCGGGCGGCCGCTGCGCGAGAGGCCGCCGCCCGCGACGCACACCGGGCCACCGGGCGGCGCGGGGACTCGGCGGGGCGGGGGCGCCAC